TTACTTAGAAGTACAATTCAAACGACTGTCTGTCGTAACTAATAGTTAATAGACATATAGATAGTCATCTAAAAAGGAAATTAAAGCTATTCTTTTCATTTAAAAAAACATCAACCTAATCCCAATTCCAAAAACAAAAATAAATAATGAAGCAAACTGGAATCTTTTTCAGGTGCTGGTAAACATGCAGCAGTGTTCTATAGTAAAGTCAGGCTATAAACTGTAAGTTGTTTTTGTTTTTTAATTTAATATAGTTCCACTCTTACCCATAAAAAGGAAATCAGTTTTGAGTTATGGCACAGAACATGAAAAGGAAATGTCAAGAGACAATATTACCAGTTAGTTACTTAAAAGCCCACTCTAGTTAAAAGCCAGTTAAATCCTAATTTAGAAGACTTCATGCACTATATTAGTTTTTACCACAGAGATCTCATACTTTATTCCTTTAGCCTACTATTTCTTATTTGAGACTTTTTTTTTTAATTAAGTTAATGAAATTGAGATAATAGGTAAAAGGTCAGGTTTAAGAAGGAAAAAATTACCCCATGGGGTTATTTAATAATGACTTTATGACTAGAATTTCCATTTGAGCATGGGCTGTAATTCAAAAATCTCAGGTTATTTTAGGAAGAGCTTATCAGTTTGACTTTTTGGGGGGACAATCCTTTTCCTGCATGAACATTTGGACTCCACAATAGCTCCACCTCAAATGCATAAGAATATTGGTCTTGGTTGGTAATTACATGTTACATTTAGATCGGTTAGGAAAGCACACATACCACAGGTTTCTGGAGCAGGTCTTTCTGAGCTGATTTTTTTAACCTTATTTAATACATATCCGATTTACTAATAGGGCCAAAGTTCACCTGACATTTGACAGAGCTAACTTGAGATGTAGGTTGGCAGATGGCATTGGTTTTTAGACAAAGTTCTTTTCCTTTTCTGCTCCCCTTCTCAAAATTAGGGTTACTTCTAAGCAAAAAATATTGAGATTTACAATACACAGAAGAAAATCCACCAGAGAATTACCTTAGTAATGAAGTATTGGCAGGACTGGAAGAACTTTCCCATGTCCAACACTATCCCATCTTGGTCACCTTAAAGTTCACCATTTTGTTGTACTTTTCACCCATCCCAAATTGTAGAAGTTGAAACAACACACACACACACACACACACACATACACACACGAACCCGAGAATACAATGCAAACTATGAGTACTTTAAAATAAGTGAAAAACCTAAAGGCATTCTTGAGCCACAGTCTCCTACATGCTACCCACCCTGGAGGACATATAATCAAGTCATATTCTGTCTTTTTTTTTTTTTTCCCAATTAGGTTGAAAGCAGTTTGAATAAGGCTACTGCCTCTACACAAATGGCACTAATTTTCCCATTTGGGTATAGGTCTTTTAACTTCAGCTGTTATGCCCCTGGCAAGGAAGTGGAGCTGAACTGGACAAGACTAAAAAGATTTCCTGGGTTTGATTTGCTGTGGATCAAGTAGTCGGCTTTGCAAATGGCAGAGAGGACCCCTCTTTTCCCTGCCACTGCTAACTCATGGGACTCAGTGTAAAAGGGCTGTGGGGACTCAGACTCTCAGAATTTCTCTTCGGTTCTGAATTCATGTGCACACAGGCTTCTGACCCGAACTTGATCAACCCACGTAGCTTCTTTTATTAATTTTCTCCCCATGGTTTTTCATCCCTCAGTACTCAGGCCTTTGTCAGAGGCAGCGCAGATACAGAAATGGAAACTGGGCCACAAACTACTTAGCATAAATGCCCCCCAGACCCATAAAAATTGCATTTTCCCCTTGCTAAAAGTATAATTTGTAATTAATATAATCATTCTTATTTTACTTAAAGGAGAGTGCTATTTGTAATGTTAAAAATAGTTCCTCAAAAGGGGCAGTTCTCTTAAAATGAAAACTACTTAATTAACTTTTATAATACGTTTAATTTATAAATTGGTCTCAAATATTGAATTGCTTCAATGTTGGTATTTCGACAATACAGAGTAGGCTGTATATTTGATAAAGCCGTGATTAAAGATTTTCAAGTGAGATTTCTTTTTTCCTGGTGTCTGCTGTATTAAAACACTCAATAACTGCAAACTAGCTAAAAAGTCAATTATACAATAAAGTAGAAAGCGCTCGGGAATCTGACTAACGTGGATAAATTTTGATACTAAACTCTTCTTTTTCACCCTTTCCCTGCTGCAAAGCAACACATGTATATACCGCAATCATGCTTGGATTTTTTTCGCTTCATCTCAATCTTCTTCAAAATTATTTTGATAATTTTCTGGACTCCACTGCTCACATTAACGTGGAGAAAAAAGTCTCAGTAGTCATTAACAAAGCAAGCACATTAGGGCACTTTTATTTTACCAATAAAATACCTGACTTACTTTCTATACACTTATGTGTTTAAAAAGAGGACATAGTTAAAAAGTCCTTAGTGAAAACACATTTTACAATACAAAGATAAAATTTCATTATTTCTTATTTAAGACTGGCCTACTCTAAATTCAAAAAGTTTTTTTTCTAGTCTACAGAAATATATCTTAACAGAAAATAAACTCTTGATCTTACAAAAACTTTTGAAACACTTGGGAGATTGCTATTAAGGAAACAGTCTGTTAAATATATCAAGAAACTGTTAAAACGTAATTATTGATTTTTTGTAATTTTACCTTCTGACTTCAAAGAATAGGGAAAAGAACTATCAAAAACATTCTCCCAGAATCATACCATTGTATGTATTCTAAAATGTCTTCAAAAAGCCATTTTTATCTTAAAGCTAGATTTCATCCCTGAAATGTTAATAATCAGGGATTTAATCTATTGCTTTTTTACAGTTTTAAGTTTGTTAAGAGACCGTATGGTGTTTATGTGTTAAAAATACCTAGATACATCAAGTGAAGAAAAGCTGTGGCAATTATATGAAAAATTTAAGGACACCTGTCACTAAATGTCAAAGTCCCAAGCAAAAGACATCTTACCAACCTTTGAATCATCCCATATAGGTACCAACAAAATTTAACTATAACTTTGATTTTAAGACAAACCAAAACAAATACATATTTTTTTATTCTAGGAAAAAATCATAGGCAGGAAAATTCTTCTATTTGATGCATTTTAATACTGCTCACTTGAGTATTTGAGATTTATAAGTATGCATTCTCCTTAAAATTCTAAGAGTACAATACGTGATTTTATGCTACCTTTTTATTTTACTTCCTCGAGCATTTTTATAGCTTCTTGAATAGCTATCTAGCTATTACACTGTACAAAAATGATAACCTTAACTTTTTTTTCACTTGCATTTTAAAAAACTATACTCAAGTATGAAGCATTTTTATACCTCCCTTCTTAATTGTCTATTTAAGATTTCAGAAAGAGCCAACAGTTATTGTTACCACTCAAGAGCTTTGTCTCTGATACATGCTTTTCAGAACTATAAAATTTCACCCAGAGAATAACTCTGTATCTTTTAAAGGAGCTTCTTGACTTTTCCCCACATCTGCCAACGAGGTAAGCAATATCGACATGGTAAGTCCCAATGTGATATAAATAAAAAATAAACATCATCATAAACTGATAATTCCATGAAGTCTGATAATTCTATTAAGATAAACACATTTTTCATTGGGAGGCCTAAAATTCAACTTAAGATGTTTTTTACATCCCAAGATTAAGGAAACTGCTCAACTTTCATGAGGCTCTGTCACAAGTTAAGAAAAAAAGCCGGGGGTCAGGCTATAGGTCTTATGGGTGGGCTTAAACCACTGTTATTTTTGCATTTATTCCTTAAAAGGCCTTCACTGAAGGATTAATGTCTGCAAACAATGAAAAAATAATCAATATTAGACTTGAAAAACTTACTTAAAACTCACTCCTTGCCTCAACCAAACACAAAAGTCCACAACAAATAAGCCTAAACTTGGCTGTCAATTTTAAATCCATTTTTTAAAAAACCAATTCAAGCACAATTTCTTTAAAACAAAGTATAAACTAGAATTTTGTTTAAATGTCTGTCCACGAGAGACACATTTTAATGCAGAGGTAATAAACTCCAGAGGAAAAAAGCGGATCATTTTCCTAATTTCACTTCAAGCTGCCCTGATTGCAGTGGAGGAAGCAGAGAGGCCCAATTCCAGAACCGAGAGTCGCGGGGCGGTGAGGGGTGTCGGGCCACAGCCTCAGCTCCGACCCAAGTGTAGGTCTTGAGCTGTCATTCTCAGTCCTATTACCACTTGTGCAGGGGCAGAAACGGCCCCGCAAGAAGCCTCTTCAGAGGTCGCTTATGCTTAAGTTTCCCTTAACTTCTCCCCTGCCACCGCGGCGCTAGGTGAACACTTTCCGGTCGTGTTTTTCACGACTGCCATTGTCTCGCTGCAGGGAGGCTCTTTTAAGTGAGGCACAGTTGGAAAGACCACGATTTTACAGAGCATCCTCCCCCCCGCCCCCCGCCCCATATACGGCGAAAATAAACTCTAATCCTGCCAGGTGGGGCTTTAACACTCGCCTGACTTCCCCTCCCCCGAGGAAGGGAGCAAGCAGAGTCAGTTGCAAAGCGACAGGAATTTTAACTAGCGAACGGGCTCTCCTCAAACAGCGCTGGTTGAGAGCGCTCGCCCCCAACGCGCTCCCGGACACCCACAGTTCCTCCCTTCGCCGTTTAGGGGACGAGAGCGGGACCTGCGACTTCCGAGGTCAGGCCAGGGAAACAGCCTGCTATTTGGGCACGAGGAGGAGAAGGTTCTGCGCAGAGCCAGGGCCGCCGTGGCCGGCCGCAGCATCCTCGCCCGGGTGCCCGCGGCGCAGACTGCCGAGTGCGGGGGCCCGAGGCCGCCTCTTAACTCGGGAAGGGACGCGCACCAGCCCCGCTGCCCGCGCGCTCCTCGTTCACCGGCCGGTCTGCAGACTCGCCGTGCACCCTCCAGCTCCGGCCGCCGCCCCCCGCCCCCCAACTCCAAGTCGGCTGCCGCCTCACCATTGGGGTCCGCGCGGGCGCCGCGGTCGGGGACGCGCGCCTTTCTCCTCTGGGCGCCGGACGTGGAACCTGCGCGCCCCAAGTTGTGCGCAGATCGAAGCCGCTCTCGAAGCTCGTCCGGGAGGCGGTGCGGGCCTCCGAGCCCCGGCCCCTGGAGGGCGCGGGCGGGAGTGGACATCCCCGCACCTCCGCCTCAGCCGCACCTCCGCCCCCTGCACACCTGCCGCCGCGGGGCCGCCTCGGCCGCGGCTCCTCCCCAGCCCCGCCCCGCGCCCCGCCCCGCGCCCCGCCGCCGCTGCCGCCGCCGCCGCGGGAAAAAGGGGGAGGAAGGAGGCTCCCGGACCGCGGAGCGCGAGCCGAGGCGCTGCGCCTCCTCCCTCGGGCTGGGGCGGGACTCAGGTCTCTCCACTGCAGCTCGGCTCCCGAACGCCGGGATGTGGTGGGGGAAGCGGCGGCCACGACAGCCCCTTTGGCCACCGCAGCCTTTTGCGGGCGGGAGCGTCTCGCAGAGAGTGCGAGCTGAGGAGGGGAGAGGCTCCCACCCGCGAGAACCGGAGCTCCTCCGTACCCTCTCAGAATCCAAACTTAGCGAACCGCACAGCGGAAGTGCCTCCTAGGTCGGACCCTTGCATGTGTAGGGGTCTTCCAAAACCGTGCCTGGTAGCGTGGGCCCCGCGGTTTAACTGGCTTTAGAGCAAGGTGGGGGGTCCTTCCATCTGGAGTGGCCGCGCATGCATTCGCAACCGTGTGTGGGTGCTTCGAGGCCTTTCTCAGATGCCATCTCCACCACGAATTTTTTTCCAGGTGCTCTCACCCGCGGCCCAGATTTGATTTCGCCCACTTTTGGATAGCCCGGGCTCTCTGAACCTACCTACTGGCCCTTCCTTTGGATGAAGGCGCTTTGTGAAATGCAATGGGTCATCTCTAAACGCCTTAGTTATTTTTATTGTGCTGTGTGGACTCAGTAGTCAGTGCTATAGAATAGAAGCAGAGAGATTTATTCTTTCCTAATTCTTTCTACTTGGGTTGAAATTCTTTGAAGGCAGAGGCTAGTAAGTTGCTCATCTCTGGAAGTTTTCAAGTAAATACTGAACGATAGTTGGCAGGGTGGTCGCACCACGTGACCTAGCCAGAAATTCTGGCAGTCCTATTTATCTATATCCTCTGAGAGCCCAGCTTGGCGCCTAGCATCTGGATGGGGGAGGGGGTAATGGTGCGGGTACAGGGTAATTCTGTTTCTGCGTTTGAATGTAATTTGTTTTTGGCACAGGTCGGTCTAACTACCACAAAGAAAAATTCCCCGGGGGGGAGGGGGAGCGGCGAAGCAAAGTTCATAGTGGTATTTTATTGATGGTGGAATATATCTCCGTGTAAAAAATTGTTCTTCAATCACAATGAAAAATCTTCATCAGAAGTTTGCTAATGAGTTGGTATTTCCTATAGGCTCCTTTCCTTAGCCATGTAAGTCCAATGCAGATGATGTATTACATAAATTATTTTTGCATGAGCACTTGGGATAAGGACTGTATGAAAGAATCAAATTTAAAATTTTCTGTATAAAATACAGTTAAATAAAATGTTTATATACCATTTGTCATTTCGGACACTTAAGTATATGTTTTGAGTTGCGAGGTCAGTTGTACTTAATGGTTATTAGTATTATGTAAACAGGTAGGAATCAAACTCATCTACACTTCAGCTTAAAACAGGTTGAAATCATGAACTCTCTTCTAAAGAACTGAGAAATCTCAAGCCATCTTGACTATCTTGACCGAGAAATAAAGAACGAAAATTAACACGGTTATTGCTATTAAAATATTCCCAATATTTTTGAAAATGATTTTTCAAATTTTATAGTCACAGTATAAAGGAAAAAGCAAATATTTTGCAAATCATGAAAAATGTGCTTTAAGATGTAAAAGACTATGAAACTTAGAGCTAAGTGCTTTTAAATATACATATAAACATATATAAATATATTTATAAATATATATTTATTTGGCAAAACCTGTTGGTAGAAAACTCAAAATTAAAAGCATTCTTTGAAGTAAAAAAAAAAAACACTCCTCTAACTTTATCATGGAAAAATATATAGTATTATCAAACTCTAATAGCTGTTTTAAACATAATATGCAAAAAGGAAAAAGATTTCATTATAAATGAGTTCCATTATACAAGACTATATCCAGAGTCCAATAGGAAGGATATTGAATATGCAAGCATAAGCATTTCATTTGTGGAACACATTTTTAAACGTTCATACAAAGCCCAGAAAAATATTATAGAAAAGATTATACAATTGCTTAACCAAAATTATATATCATAATATGATGAATAAAATGAGCCAATGAAGGGATAATTCACCTCAAGCAGTAAAATCAACCCAAACAAAAACTATTTTAAGCCCATAGAAAGAGAAAGAATTCTCTTTTAGACTTTGATTTGAGGCAAACAAGCTGTTTGCCCCAAGACAAATACACATAATATCACAGTAAATCCAGAGTTAATAGAACACAGCCATAAATGGCTCACAGGGCAAATCACGTAGGCATCTTCAACTTTATCAAAAGGGTTGGCCCAGGGCACTTCACATATAACTCTTTGTTCACATTTTACTCTGTAATAATGACAGCATTGTCTGAAATTTGAGAATTTCCTCTTTACCCTTTACCTGCAAGGGCAAGATGAACTACTACTTTCTAGCTTACCGAAAGATGAGCACCAAGGCCATATTTTCTTCCAGCATCTAAATAATCTCTAAATAGACTATAAGTTACAAAAGTTAATTTATTGTTTGAATTATTAATAATTTTTGTGTTTTAAAACTATTCTGTGTTACTGATCACATCTTTCCATACCCACTGGCTATCAAGGACTTTCAGAAGAGAGTGGAATAGAATCTTTACCTCATTTTAAGTTTTTAAAAAGTTAACACTTAAAGTTACACACACATAAATATATTTCACACACACCTACCCCCCACCTTTGCACACAAATGAGGCACAGGACTTATGAGAGTAGAAGGACTAAGATACCTTTTTCAAAAATATGTATTTACAATAATTATGAAACAAATCATTAACAGAAAGTCTACAAAATGTACTTTCTATTCCGTTTTTAGTTAATTTATTTAGAAAAAAATTTCCCCTGTAAGCAAACCCAAATTCCGATTATTGTTGGTATTATTTTTGAACATTGACATGGTGCAAGAGGCATGGGAAAGAATTTCTGCTAGAGGCCTTTCTGTCATCTTTTAAAATTCTGATGAGTTTTATATGGAATATAGCAGATAATTTCAGTTGAAGTGATTCACCTCTTTGACGACACTGACAAGTATTTTTAATGTTTTCTTTTTAGTGAAAAAAATCTTGCTAAAAGACAACAGAACAGATACCTATACAAAATGTTAAAGTCTGTTAAAACTGAATGGTGGGTATATGAATATCTGACATTATTTTGAAATGTTTCATAATTAAGAATAAAAATTGAAATAAATAAGAAAATATAACATTGAAGTCATTTAAAAATTACTTGTGATCTCCTATTTGTCCTTACACAAATTTTAACACTTTGGTTATCTTTCATTTGTAAACATTTTTTTGCTGGCTGCAATCTCATGCTTGCTACTTTCTGAGTAAGAGTTCTAACTGGGGAGAGAGGTGGGAAAGGATTATTTTGCTGCACAGAGAAAGGGCAAAATGAATACTTCTAAAAGAAACCATGCCACACTTTTTAAAGCAAATGTTGTAGTTAAAATAGGAGCAAGCTGAAAATGTTTTGTGACTATATCTTTTGTTCCATGCTGACTTTGGAATGTTATTTTGCATGATAGTGTTATTCTCTCTGAACAAGTAGTCAAAAACACACATTTTATTTTACCTAACTTCCATAAAGTAGGAATAGTAAGAGAAATATATATATATTATTGAAATAAACTGAATATGAAAAAAAATTAACCATGTCCAATTTTGTTCTTTATATGGGTTTTATAAGAATATTTATGGAAAACCATGGTTTTCAACCCCTTAAACATGAAATGACATATTCTTGGCTTGTACAGTTCTCGGTAGGTATACATACATTTATTAAATGCTACATCAGGGGCGCCTGGGTGGCTTAGCCGGTTAAACGGCTACCTTTGGCTCAGGTCATGATCTCAGGGTCCTGGGATCGAGCCCCACGATGGGCTCCCTGCTCAGCGGGGAGCGGCTTGCCTTCCTCTCTGCCTACTTGTTCTCTTTCTCTATCTCTCTGTCAAATAAATAAATAAAATCTTAAAAATAAATAAATAACTGCTAAATCAGTGTTCACAAATTTTCAACATTGCTTGTTCAACCTCCATTTTAGGAACTGTCATGGAATTTTTTTTCATTGAAAATGTAATCAATAACACCAGCAGCTAAAAAAATTTCGCGAGCCATTAACATATAGAAAGTTAATCTTTGGGGCACCTGAGTGGTTCAGTAGGTTAAGCGTCTGCCTTTGGCTCAGGTCATGATCCCAGGGTCCTAGGATCGAGTCCCGCATCGGGCTCCCTGCTCAGCAGGAAGCCTGCTTCTCCCTCTCCCACTCCCCCTGCTTGTGTTCCCTCTCTCACTGTGTCTCTCTCTGTCAAATAAATAAAATCTTTTTTAAAAAGAGAGTTAATCTTTGGATCAGAAATAAATCTTTCTGATCAGTGGCCTTATTCAACTTTGACTCATCCATATTTGGCCTCATTCATCTTTGACTCAGAAGATAGCCGTGATACCTATAAGAAAGAGCAGTGGTTCTCAACTCCAACCCACTCATGGATGATACAGGTATATCTGTGGGCTTGGCATCAATGGTTAGGTTTTGATTGTAATTCTCAGTATATACGAACTCTGATTCTATCTCTTGCTCCTCTCAGCAAGTGAAAGCAATGTTTTAAAAGGGATAATCTTAAATTTGCTCTAATTTGAAAAGATTAATCATTCATAGACAATTCTCATAATCCATCTCAGATCTTACAGAGACACACCAAAATGTTTTAAGTATCCCAGAAATAGAGAACAAAGTAATGCAAAACTCAGATCACTGAATCTTATTCTAAGGAAAAAAGTCAGTTTACTCTCTCTTACCGAATGCCCTGGTGATCTCTTTCTCTTTGTGTAGGTTTAGGCTCTAGTTGAGTGGTGGGAATAAGTAGCTCTAGGACATATATGAGCAAACAGTGGGAGGGGCTGTTCTAAAGTGCTCTGCAGTAGAGATATATATGGATCTATTACTAGAGTCTTACTACTCAGTATGCTCC